GTAGACAACTACAGATTTATGGAGACAGTCTACAAAGCTAACTATTTCAGTGCATTTATTCGAATCCGGCATAAAAAATTTGCCAAGAAATTTTCGCCATTTTTTTTCAAAGAGGTTTTTGAACTTTAACTCATATTAATGGATCGGAATATGTTTTGTTATAGGCAGATAGTATTGCCGGCAAAGAAAAGGGGACTGGAATGGCCATTTCTGGCTTATTAGCCGTCCTAAGTCAGACATACCCAACCCCAGGTTTAGCAACCCCGAATTTTGAATCCGCGAACTTGCTAGTTAGATGTCGAACGCTGTAAGCACTGAGCCACGGGCTCAGTCGGAGGGTGTCAGTAATGTATTTCTGCCTATAATATATGCTAGCCGTTGAGCGGCCGCTAGTTGGCTCGAGAGCGAGTCCCAAGGCGCAACACAACGGAACGAGTGAGATCCGTACCGATTGGTGAGCATCTATTTACCCTGATTTTTACCATAGGGATATACATTTCATATCGGAAATCGAAATAAAAGAGGCTCCTCCCACTGTAAAGAATAGCAGAAGAATAGGATCTTTAGTTCTTAAGTTATATTTCTCACAATCATCATCACTAGTACCTAAAAAGCTCAAATTCAATTATTGCTGTCGGAAGTGACCCTAACTGACACTTTTACTTTGTCCTCGTAGTGCTTGTTAAGCCGATGACAGATCTTTATAGCATCTAAATGAGTCATCGTTTGAATGCACACTTCCTGCCGCCGTGGACACAGAATCTAGTAAGGCTATTCGCTGAGGACTGACATACCGTTGAAAACCCTTTTTTGCCACCCGGACGGGAGGGGTGAGTGGTCAAGGGGAGGAGTCAGTATTTTCGCCAAATTGCAAGTCTGTGTTAATGCATCCTCGGGTAAATGTGGCATTCAGATGCCGGCCTAATGAACAAGCATATTAGTCTATCATTGAATTAACTAACATCAGGAACTCTAATCAATAGCCTAGCTAAACGTCACTTCTAACACAGGTGTTTGAGTATGGACAACGGTGCAAACTTCTATTTCCCCTTACCGAAGGGAGTGAACAAGTGTGATGAAATGCATTGCTTCATCCAGAAATCCTTCAATCACCTTTTCTTTAAACGTTATTAACCTCTATTTCTTAGGAGTTCGAACTCATGACGAAAAGAGCAAGGCTTGGAATCTACTAACGCCCTACCCAACTGAGCTGCGAGGCCCCTACCCACGCCTTCCCGTTGGGATCCTATAACTCAGGTGGTTAGTTCGTAAACTGTCCTCGAGTCATGTTCATATTGTCTTTATTTAAAATCCTACTGATGCCACCTAGGTTTTCCACAATTGAGCCAAGTTTACTATTCGAATCTACTAAATCCTACTAAAACTAGTAGTCAACTGGTAGATTGTAGATTGAGTATTCTGGAAATCCGGCTTGGATATCCAGTTTACTATATCAGAATCGGTCGATTTCATACGTTGGATTTGCCTTGGCGCGTAACTTGACTTATCTACCATTAAACTCCCGGCTCCCGGTGGGACCTCGTGGTTAGAGCGTAGACTGTACTCAGTTTTTTTAAAACCGAAAGATATCCCTTCTTTAAGTATAAAATTCAAAGAAGGCACAATTTGCTATCAAACGAGTACAAGAAATAGTTTTTTCGTTTATGTTTTCCAGAAAATATATTTGAATTTATAAAAGCAGTCAAAGTCAATGACCAAAAAGTGCATACAACTTAAGTAGCCACTTTTTACAGTACGTACCTTTTAATAGCTGTCAGAAAGATGCTAATTAAAAAATTCGTATCCTCATGTGACCAAAATATATTGAGGTTAAGCTGTACGATCGTCATTCTTACGACCATACGTAAGTAATATGTTTGAATCGAAAAAGCATTTCAGAATTCCGGGTGACAGTTCATGAGATAGGGAATCTACTGTAATTGCTTGCATTACGCAGATTTTCGATTACTCCATCATGCAGGGAGCACATGATGGATCCCTAGCGGATAAACTATGGATGCAACAAGTATTCGCTGGCTAGGTAGTCATTTTTGCTTACGAGTTACACGGGGGTTTGGAAAAATGGACGAGTGTGTATATGCATCGAACCGTATTTAGGATTACATATTCCGCTAAGTTTTCCACACTTTTCATGATGTAAAACTTCAGAAAAAAATAATGGCTGCATTGTACGTTTCGTTGAAGTCTAAAAATGTTCTCTAAGCATGTAAATAGTTGTTTTCTTCTCTTTGCCTTCGATTCTATTTACTTTTTACATATTTATCCCCTTCATTGTGATCAGTCAGTCAACGAGACTAATGGAGATGAAGACTCGAAAACGAGTCGGACAAAAATAGTTTGAGGATGCAATTTTTTCATTTACATGACACAATCTTATAAGCGAGCAGCCTCAGATCTGGCACATTTTTCAAATTCTTAATAAGTACCGTATATATGCCACTTCATGAAGTGATAACTATAATTCTGAATTTTTATCTATCCAACAAGATTACTTAAGAGGGTTAACAATAGTAGTTATCTTGCAACACAATTCGCAAAACATTTCTGTCACATGAAACTGCTTCGAGGCTCATTTCGGCCGGCTACAGAGAGCAAAATCAGCGTAAATGACACCCTAAGTTGTATGCATTTTCCCGTTGAATTTCGATGCCCTTATAGATTTAGATATATCTTATAGAAAACATGAACAACAATGTTGTTGGTGGTAAGTATTTGATAGGGGGTTACACTTTTTCTAAATATCCCACTTGAAGAAGGGCTATCGCTTGGTTTTTTTAAACTGTCCAATTATGAGATTATCGTTTTCGTCAACCCCAAAGAAGACGAAGAAGAAGGTTCAAGGGCATGGACCGAGTTATATTGGGACTGACGTTTCGGACACACATTTTTTTCATCATCAGAGTAACGTGGTGGTTGTTCCTGTTTGCCCGGGCTGTTTCAGCCTCGCTGCTTGCCTGTTATTATATCCGTGCTCGGCGCAGGAACTTTGACCTGCTTGTTCGCTGCTGACCGTCCGTGAGATTGACCGCTGGGGGGCTCGTGTGTCCTTTGCCCCCTTTGCCAACAATTACGACAACCGCAACTTTCATCGTACGCGGTGGAATAGGACGTCATGATTGCTCACTCATCTGGCCCTCTGGTGCTGGCGTTAGATGACGCGTTCGCCTGTGCGTTCCTGGAATGGCGAAGTGCTTTGTCCAAAGTGAGCCTCAGCACGGATTTTGGATTGGACAGATCGTTGCACTTGATTATAGACTGAAGGCCCGTGAACCATTACTCTTGTAAACGGCGACTCACGATTGTCAACTTTCGCGAGAATTCCGGCCTCATTACATTTGAATGCGCGGTCGGGTCTCGTCGAATGAGCCGCACCTTGGGTATTGGTATCGTTTCTCCGAACTGCTGCCACGTGTTCGACAATTCACTTCTTGAGAAGTCTTCCAGTTTCGCCGACACAGTTTATTTATTCGCAACTGCACCAGATCCTTAAGATGACTCCAGAAGTTTTTTGCCGTGGCACCTTATAGTTGGCTCAGGCTTGCCTGCAACTCCATCTGCAAGTGGTGCGAGAGGGCGGCCGACGGCTTCCGAGACGATTTTGACGTCGGGAATCGCTCGCCAAATTTTGGGTTCGGTGCAATTTTCTTGCTTATCTCGGTTGCACATGCAGTGGTTGACAAAGTTGCGCGGATAACTATTCCTTTGAACAGCCGTCCAGGATATCGTACTTATCTGAAATACAATATCTTCGACGGGTGTTCAATGCTTGTCCCAGCGATTACATCTACTTCTCAGTTTGAGCGTTGCAGGCGACAGGAAAGGTGTTTGTTCAAAAAATCCAGAATCCTAAAGAGACTGAAAACTCTGGGGATTAGACTGCATGGTACTTAATCTTAGAACACTACTCAAATTTTTTATAAATAAAAAATACATTGCGGAATTTCGGTTAAAATATTCTGGGATAGAAAATAAATGCTGCATCTTACCATTTCTTTGGCTGGTTATGGCCACTTTCTGGGCACTTTTGGGCCCAGTGCCAAAATGTGAATGAAGGGGGAGGAGTGTCGTTCTCTTGCCTGCCGGAATTATCCGACCAGGACGGCGCCTCTAGGCATTTTAACTGACACCGCCTATCAGCT